CAAATTTATAACAATGACCAAGGTTATATTGTCCCATACAATTTCCTCCTTCTGCAGATTTTACATAGCACTCAAAAGCTTTTGTATGATTTCCTATGCTTTCATAATAATTACCAGCGTTGCAATATCCTAAATTATTTCCATTTTCAATAGATTTCATGTACCATTTTAAAGCCTCTTCCTTGTCAATAGAGGTTCCCACACCATACATAAGACAATATCCAACTCCATTTTGTGCTATTGCATTTCCTTCTTCTGCAGATCTTAAATACCAATGAATGGAATCGATTTTTAACAGTACCATAACCGTTATGATAACAATCTCCAATATAAAATTTTCCGGAACCTGAACCTTTGGCAACTGATTTTAAAAATAAATATAGTGCCCTTTGTTGATTTACTATAACACCTTTTCCACGAAGATAAAGTAAACCAAGAGAAATTAGCCCAATAAGTTGATTTTCTTTTAATAAATCATCTAACTTATTTGAAGAATTAAAATTTTCAGCTGCTTGTCTATACATTTCAAATGCCTTATGATAATCAACGGCTGTTCCAATTCCATATTCATAAAAGAATCCAATAATGCTAGTAAAATAATATTTATATTTGTAACTATCATATTGTCTGAGAATATCTACTTGATTTTTGTTATTTTCCACTATATGTTTTTTTAAACAGTAGACTAATGAACTTTTTGAACTATTTGTAACGCCTTGTATATTAAATTGTGTTATAAATAGTTGGTTTAAATCATAAAGAAATTTCTGTTTCGTATCAATATAATCTTGTTTATTTGAATTTACTAGAGAAAATGGAATTGTTTTACCAATTTTTAAAGTCAACAAAGTATTTGTTAAATCCAATAAATTATTCTGATCGTTAACTATATTGTTTTCACTTAAGACTTTTATAATGGAAGAAATTAACATTAATTCTTTTGCTGTCTTATCAAGTAAATTAGTATAATAGTTCAATAATTCTGGTAATTCTGTTGAATCTGAGCATTCTATTTCAGATATTAATTGATCTTTATTCTCGATCTTCTCATATTCAATAAATATTTTCTCATTAACAATTATATCATCTGTGCTAATTTTATCTAAATCATAAAAAATATGTTGGATAGTTGGTCGTTTATTTGAATCATGCTGCCAACATTCTAAAGAAAAATAATTGCATTAATTATAATATCTTATCGTTAAATCGTATAAATATATGAAATACTCACCCATATAGATTTTAGCATAATGTTTAGGCGTTCCAGATACTACAACTTCACGTTTACCATTAACAATTGCATTTATTAGATTGGAAATACAATATAATTCACTTTTAAATGGAATAATTCCACTTGAAATCTCCCAAAAAAGAACTCCAATACTATATATATCTGAACTTTTGTTAAGTTTGTAAGTTTCGGTGTTTTGTAAATATTGAGGATCTGTATATTGAATATATTTAAATATACTCGGAAATGTGTTCTGATCTTTAAATATATGAATCTTAATATCTCCTTTATTGACTAATATTTTCCTGGAATTCTAAATAATTAAAAATAATAACGTTATATTTACTGTTAAATTGTTTAAAAATTAGAAAAAAATCGAAATAAAAACGCACAAAATTTAAATGAACTATGTCATTGTCATGTAAACATTTTACGGCACTAACAAGCTGTTTTGCTAGGCGTTACTTTTCATTCCAATGATTTTGTTGAAATTTAATTTTAAATATTGACGAAGTGTTCCATCAAAAGCATATTCATGAGTGAATATAATTTCATTTACGCTTTGCTTAACAACCGCTATAAATTTTAAAATGTTTTCATGTAAGTCTACAACTTTTTTGTATTTTTTTAGCTAAATAATAAAATAAGATTATTTAGTGTTAATAAATTTTGCAATATTTTTTGACTAAAATAAATTAAAATTTACATCGTTGATAAAATCTTCTAGTGTATACTTCTGAGAAAAAACAAT